TAGTTCAGACAAGAGGAAACAAAAGAACATTGTGATTCAAGAAATTCTGAGCTTATTCTTAATTTTTCTATATCTTTAAAATGACTTGAAAATATGATTATTTTCTTTATTGTCCAATATTTTTCACATGGATAAAATCAGTGTTTAAATGCAAATCTTACTCTGACATCCTAACCACCAAAACAGAAGAGAAGTATGCAAAATTTAATAATAGGATGCCACAATAGCCAAGAATTGCCCAGTATTTGCATTAAAAAAAAATCCCACAATAAGAAAAGCATTATTTTCTACTGCCCAATGTATTCATTTTAAATAACAAACTTTTATTTTTCTGTAACATATTGCATACTTATTACATAACATTAACATATTATATAACTATATTTATAAGTGTAGCACTATCAACAGGTATTGCTTTTTTTTTTCATTCCAGTCCCCTAATTTTTAATCTCTAAATGATGTTTTCTCTTTAGCTCATATTTTATTATGCATAGTTAAGAAAAACAATATAAAAAAACACCTTACTATAAAATAATAACAACAGCAGCTAACATTTAAACTATTCTTATGTTATAGGCAAGCTTCTGAATGCTTTTTGCATAGTAACCCATGTAATAATCTCAACAACCCTATGAGGTAGATGTAATTATTAGTCCATTTACAGATGGGAAAACTGAGTTTCACATGTATTAAAAAACTTGCCTATGATCCCATAGCTAGTAAGTAGTAGCATCATGATTTAAGCCACAGCAACAAAAACTTAGCCCATAATTTTAACTGCTAAACTTTCCCACAAATACTGACATTACAATATGAATCAAAGAAAACAAAATGTATTTAGTGGTAGAGTCATATGTATTACACTCTATAACCCATGGATACATTTTCAAACCAAATAGAAACCAGTCTAACAATGACTGCTAAAAATATTCAAATTACTGGAATGTAATAAAAAGTTTTACTGAATGTTAGATGTTATTGAAAAACAACAACAACCCTGTAGTTTATATTAAAAAAATCAACCCATAAAGTCCATTTCATTGTCTAAGAAAATAAAGTCTATAACAAAACACATCATATGTCTACAAAAATATAATTCTTCCATACTATTAAGACATTATAATTTTATAAAAAGTAAAGAGGAAATGTTTCCATGAAGCTGAAAATCATTCATTTTAAACATCAAACAGAACATATGAAACACTTAGAAAGTGATGCACTGTTATTGAGATGGAAAATCACATCAATTTTTAAAATAAAAATAATGTACTCTGCTTATCAATTTAATGAGCTTCTCTGAGATAAATAATTTAAATAGCATCCTCACTATAGTATTAAAATGCATAAAATATAAATCTACCTGCCATCTTCATTACTTCGGTAAAACACAAGAAAAGGATCTGATTTTCCAAAGAAGTCCTTCTTGTCCAACTTATTAGCACAAAATTGCATCAGAACAGCATCCTGAAAACAAAATGAATATAATAGCTCAAAATCTGGATTACAAATAACCAGAAACTACAGATCACAAATAAGACTTGAGAAGAAAACAAATTTGAAATTTTCTTGCAAATGGCCAAGTGTGTGAGAATTCCAGACAACATAAAATTGCTTTAAAGGACCATGAGACTGAAAACTTGACTTTGTGTTTGTTCTAGTCACAAAACTATAACTTTAAAATCTGTACCAATTTTCTTCTGAAAAGTGATATTAAGCTAGATAACTCTAGGTATCCAATATCATAAGACAAATCTTCATTCATATCTCCTGTTATTCAAGTACATATTTTTAGAACATACACATTTTTTAAATTCCTGAGGAAATATTTACTAAACTTCTACTAAGTATCTATCATTTATTAGATGTTAAGATGTATTAGATGATTAGATGAGGAACAAGACTGATCCAGACTTTGACCACATAGTTTACTATCTGGAGGGGAAAAAAGTTTTTTTTCTTAATTATACAGAGTGCTCCACAATATCTCCATAACTACATTTTAAAATAATTAACATTGCATTGGACTTCAAGAAAAACAGCCGAAACCGGTTTGGCTCAGTGGATAGAGCGTCGGCCTGCGGACTGAGGGGTCCCAGGTTCGATTCCGGTCAAGGGCATGTACCTGGGTTGCGGGCACATCCCCAGTAGGAGATGTGCAGGATGCAGCTGATCGATGTTTCTCTCTCATCGATGTTTCTAACTCTCTATCTCTCTCCCTTCCTCTCTGTAAAAAATCAATAAAATATATTTAAAAAACAAAAACAAAACAAAGCACCTTCATTTTCATTTGTAATTTAAATTAAACATGTAGCATGTTAATCACTATGCCAAACCAATCATTTTTATCAGTTTATATACTCAAGCATCGATAATCTACGTAATTTAGCTTAAAGTTAATCAAACTGGGGTATAATAAATCAAAGATATGAACCATTATTCAATTAGGTAGTGTAAGCTTTTTAATAAAGTAGAAAATACATAGCCATTTCAAGAATAAAATTACTATTTTGGTTTGCTTGCTTTTTTAACTGAAAGAAAATGCTAACAATTTTGGAAAGAGGTAGAGGGTCAAAGTAATTCAGATTAAATCAAGAGGTCATAGTTTCGCCAAAACCAGTTTGGCTCAGTGAATAGAGCGTCGGCCTGCAGACTGAAAGGTCCCAGGTTCGATTCCGGTCAAGGGCATGTACCTGGGTTGCGGGCACATCCCAAGTGGGAGATGTGCAGGAGGCAGCTGATCAATGTTTCTCTCTCATGGATGTTTCTGACTCTCTATCTCTCTCCCTTCCTCTCTGTGAAAAATCAATAAATTATATTAAAACAAAAAAAAAGAGGTCATAGTTTCAAATCCTATTTGATGAAAATGTTAACAATGACTAAAAAGTCACTTTCTTATTCAACCATTTCTTTGCAGAGTCCAGCAATACTGATTAAGCTTCTACCTAAATTCTCCTTATTTCCTTTCAGTAATTCCAGAACACTATACCAGAGATGATGCTCTCTATTTTTCTTTCATTCATTGATATACTTACTTAATAAACATTTCTCAAGCAATACTCAGAGAAGTTTATAGGTCTAGATTTCTCATTTTCAAAAGTATCGATAAGAGTGTCATTTTACTTCGTTATTTAGAATACAGATGTGATATCTTCTACCAGAGGAATACTCATATTAAAGCAGGCATTCTGCTTCTAAGCAGGTATAGTTACAATACACATTTCAAAGAAAATTACAAAGGGAACACAAGCAAGAATAGGAATATCATTAATAACTCAAGCTCCTCAACCATGATCACTTTTCAAATCTAAGGTTTAAAGATTAAAAATTGATATACTATCCATTAAGGAAGTAGTGAGATAATCACCTGGATGTTCAAACTATAAAGTCAAATTGAGAAGAAAGGGCTGGGGTTTTTGTTTTGTTTTGCGTTATTTGTTTCGAATGCCCTTTCATCTTCCTATATATTACATGCCCTTGGGTGAGAGTAGTTTTCTAATAACACGGGACGAGGACATTGTTCTTGTCACAGAAAAATAAATAGCCCCTTGAAGATATTTTCCCAAAGCACCTGAATCAAAACACAAACTCCCAAAAAACATTCTGATATACTTGAAAGGCATTAATAGATCAATAAAATGTGTATTTTTCAAACTGATTGTGAATTAAGCTTCAAAGAGATCAAGTATTGTTTAAAAATAAATTTTCACATGATCATTGGTGAATGTAATACCAAGCTGTAATTTTTCAAATTATATTCCTTAAGGCTTACAACATGAATAACCAATTCAAAATAAAGATTTCTTTCAATGTATCAAATTATATAAATTTAGGAAAAAATATATTTTGCTATTATTCAGGTTAATAACATAGTGGGGATTTCAGCTGTACCAAGCACAAAAGGTATCTAATTTATAAGGAAAAAATCCAAGCATTTACTTATTTTCAGAAATATACAGGCATCATTGCAAAGGTGTTTGTTTCTTTTTTAATCTCTTATGCTTAGTACCACCTGAGAGAATTTTCAAACTTTTCTTCAATGCTCCACATCAATACAACAAACTTCCTATTGAAGAAATCCACTTGAATATTTCACAGGCATTTCTAACAAGTTCAAATCTAACTTGCTTCTCCTATAATTTTCCCAGCTCAATTAGTGGTTCATCATCCACTCAAGTGATCAAAGAGTTGTTCTCAATTTATCCCTTTTCCTTACCCTTTACACATTTCTTCACCAAGTTGTAACATTCTGAGTCTAAAACTTTCCTCAAATTTTCACTTCAGCTACACAGGCACCACCCTCGTCCAAGCCCACCTCCTCTCTCACCTGGACTTGTACAGTGTGGCATTGATTCCTCTCTCCCTCTCCCTCTCTTGGACCTATCCAATCCATTCTCCGTTTAGCAGACATGTTCTTAAAATGTGAAAGAAATACTTCTGTACCTAACAAAAATGCTCCAAGGCTTTCTCCTGCATTTCAGATAAACAGACTCTTAAAATGATCTACAAAGCTGAACACCAGCCCTAGGCAGTTTGGCTCAGTAGATGGAGCATAGGCCAGCCAACTGAAGGGTCTTGGGATCAAGTCAGGTCAAGGGCACGTACCTCGGTTGCAGGCCCCATCCCCGGCCCGGGTTGGGGATCATGCAGGAGGCAACCAATCTATGTGCCTCTCTCACATCTATGTTTCTCTGTCTCTCCTCCTCCCTTCCACTCTCTAAAAACCAATGGAAAAAATATCCTCAGGTGAGAATTAACTAACTGAATGAATGAACGAATGAAGCTGAACACCAAATGGGCTCTGAGCTGCCTTTTCCACCTTTACCTGGCAAAGTTTTACCTCAATCATCCCCCACTCCTAGGCCCTTGTCACCAAGCACCAGACACACTCCTCTCCCTCCTCAGGATCTTACACGAGCTGTGCACACTGCAGGAATTCCTACTACCCTGCGGCTGGCAAACGATTCCTCAGGGCTTAGCTTGCATGTCATTTGTTCACAGAGGCCCACATGACATCCTCCCTCTTATAAGTTAGATTTTCCATTGTCTTTCCCATAATATATTTGATCACTTAGTAAACATCATGACATATTTACCTGCACAGTCATCTGCATTTCCCACAAGCCGTCTGCATTTCCCACAAGCCGTGTTCATTAAAAACAAGGCCCAAGGTTATATTTGATCACGTAGTAAACATCATGACATATTTACCTGCATAGTCATCTGCATTTCCCACAAGCTGTCTGCATTTCCCACAAGCTGTCTGCAGTTCCCACAAGCCGTGTTCATTAAAAACAAGGCCCAAGGTGGTTGGTTGTGTTTTTCTCACCATTGTATTTCAAGCTTCCATTTCTGAGACTAGCACGTTTGTACAATATGTTGAATCATTCAATCAGAATAACAAATATTCTTTGTGGATAATTTCAAATTACTTGTAAGCAATGGTTTACACATCACTCAAATGATGCTTTTGTTTTCCCTGCAGAGGAGCCATCTGGGGGAGGTACTAAGAATATCAGCATTTTGCCCTAGCTGGTTTGGCTCAGTGGATAAAGTGTTGGCCTGTGACTGAAGGGTCCTGGGTTTGATTCCAGTCAAGGGCACAGGCTCGGGTTGATTTCAGAAAGGAAGGGAGAGGGAGAGAGAGATAGAAACATCAATGATGAGAGAGAATCATTGATCGGCTGCCTACTGCAGGTTCCACGCTGGGGATCGAGCCCACAACCCAGGCATGTGCCCTGACTGGGAATCGAACCGTGACCTCCTGGTTCCTAGGTCGACGCTCAACCACTGAACCACTCATGACATCCTGGCCATAAGATGCAGCCTGGCCATACGCAATATATGCCTCAGTATCTTGATTTTCTTTTGAAATAGATGAATAATAATGTGTTCACTGGCATATTTATACAAAATCACCATAATATCAGATTTTGACAAAATAGCATGTTAATGTCACTGTAAAGAACAAGTATCTTATTGACTTGGAACTTCTTTTTCTCTTTCCTCCATCATTATACAAAACTCATTATCATCATACACATAAAGAAATTCAGAAACAAGAAGTGTAATAGATGATTAGATGATATCATTAAAAGAAATCATTGTGCCAGTTTAACTAAAAAATAGGATGGTGGTGGGTATTATTCTTGTATTTAAATAACTGCAGTATTTTTGTAAAGTATTTTAGTATACATAAAATGCTTTCATATACATTACATTTTCAGATTTAATGATATAGTAGTCAATTTTCAGAGATGGGAAAATTTTTAAAAATATTATAGTTATCTGTTCAAATATTTGGCTCCCTCCCCAGGCCCCATCACCCCTTGTAAATATGAAAAGTGAAACTCAGAGCAATCAAGTGACTTAATAAGCCGAAGTACAAATTACTAGCAAAACCAAACCCGGTTCAGTCAGATGGTCTTTTACAGCATTATACTGTAAGTAGTTTCTGGCATTTTACACATGAGAGAACTGAGACTGAGGTGGCTGTGACCTGCCCAGGGAATAAAGACAAAGAATAAGGAAAAAGAATAGGAAGGCCTTCGTTTTGAATGCATTTCTAACTGCTTAAATTCTAATATTCTCGTTTAATTATCTCCACAAGCTTCTTATTATACTTTCCTTTTGTTATTTCACTATCCCAGCCCCCAGAGTCCCAAGGGTGCATAGTTAATTGAAATGCTCAGTTTCAGCAGTTGCAGGCAAGTAATATGTTTTTCTGGCCATATTGCCTTTATATACATACTTATGTATATAAAGCCATAGTGATTATTTTCAAAAAAAAAAAGAAAGAAAAAGAAAAAAAAAATGACCTCTGGGGATTAAAGTGAAAAACTCAGGTACTAATTAATAGCTCTCTGTATAAAAACTACAGCCAATGTCAAAGTATTAAGTTTTTGTACTTTGGGGGAGCTTCTGTTCGTAAAATCATGAAGCAAACATTGTAAATAAAGAGTACTGAAACGTAATTTCTTTTCCCCCAAAATAACAATTCCCAGGGACCCACTGGGCCACTCAGAACAGACAGCACTGACTTCTGATTCAGAGCCCTCATTACTTCCAGCTCTCAGCTCATCTTGACAACAATGAAATCACTGAACATGAGTCAATGGCTGTATCAGCAAATCACGACTAAAAATAGCAGCTTTCTAAAAATACTGACTATGCACTTGTTCCTAGTTGGAGTGGTAGTTGGTCCTTCTTTCAAATGTGGACTTATCAGCTAACAAAAGATGGGACTGTATATATTCTGAATTAATTCAATTAGAAATAGGGAAACACGGGTATGTCATGCAAAAGGGACAAGGTCAAATGACTAGAAATATTCCTTCAAAGTCACACATAAATCTTCAAAATTTTTGCAAAAACTAAACTGATTGGTACAATTGACAACTCCTTATATTAATGCCTCTCCCAAATGATAATGACATTAGGTTTTATTTGGAATTTTCTATTCTATAAAAAGATCATTAAACTAACTGATTATTCTTTTGGGACTACAGAATATAGTCTCTCTGGTTAAAGTACTAAGTATCTAAAGTGATATTTAATGAGTTATAAATTAATTTAACACATACTTTCAATTAAATTTGCTACAATTACTCAAGTTAATCATTTGTGTAGATTTTCAGAAATATTATTTAAAGTTAGTGTTGGTAACACAAAGAAATTGACTTACCCTGCAACAGTTTAGTTCCTCTGCTGTAAGTATGATAGTGCCACATTTCTTCCCTGGAATTCCTCTAAAACAGCAAAAAATATATGTATATACATTAATATTTTATATTTACAATACTATATATTTAATATTTGTATACAACCAAATAAAGAGAGTATTACTAATAGGTGGGCTCTTTCCTAACAAAATACATTCCCAGTTCCAGCATTGAGTTTATCCTATATTTCCACACATCCTGATGAAGCTAAACTTTGATCGCATTCAGCATGTCAGTTCTCTGCACAAGAATCTTCAGTAGCTTCATATTATCTAGCATATCTAATATAATATAATATGATGATATAATATATGATATAATATGATATGTGGTATAAATCTATAACAAAACTTTCTCCTGTGGTTACTAATATTTCTATTATGTAATTAAAACCTATCCTAATCTTGGTTTCATATTTCTTTCTCCTTTCATCAACATGGTAACTTATTTGCACTTAATGTCTTTCTGCCATTCCCACGCCCTGACATACCGTAGTGTGTTTAACTATTCCCTACCCTGCCTCAAACTTTCCATATCTCCATATGAAATTCCATTTGTTCTATGAAGCCTTACCCCAGTCAATTTCACACACAGCTCAGCCTTCTCTGCACTCCCACTGCACTTACAGGCTAAGCATTTAATCTTTCCTAAATTGTTAGAATCATATATTCTTTTCCCTTGTTCTCTCAAGTTGATTATAAGCTGTATAAGAGCAAAACTCATGAGAACAAACCTCTTGTAAACCAAGAGAGTTAAATATCTATACCTAGCAATTGGTCATACATATAAGAAAAATGTGTAACATAAGCAGAATTAAGCAAATTGCAACTGCCATTCAATTTTCATTTTACGTGTCTCTGGTATATTTATGTTCACATAGCTTCTGGCTGACACTAAGAGAAAAGTTCAATAGGAAAATGCAAGGTGTGCGCATGGTCTCCTGCTTTACACAAGGGACAAGTCAAGGAGAATTTTCCAAAGGGCAATGTTTGTTCTAACAGTATATTGCATGCTTCTTTTCTCACAAATCATAGTTCAACTCTTCTGTTTGTCCTGGAAACTAAATATGTGACATTAAAGCCCAATGGATGCTTTTGTTCTCAAATATATTATTCATCCCTGATAGTTTTATTTGTACCAGCAGGTATGCAACAAATACATGCCCCTTAATTTCCACATATACAGGGATTGGAGTGTTAGTATCTCGACTGGGAATAAGGTGGAAGAATGGAAAGTTAAAGTATTCTCAATTGTGAATATATCAATGAAATTATACTCACTCTAAAACTGCCCTACCCTTTCTATCTTTCTATTCTAAAATTTCTTCTGGAGAGCACCACTCCGTCTTGAACTAAAAATGCCAGCTTGTGCAGGAAACTACCTATCACAAAATCTCGTTTCCTCTATCTCTTCACTCCCCATTCGGGAAATTGTAAATGTCAGGATCTTCCATTTTCTCCAGGTCTTTATGACTAAGAGATCAATTAATTTATCCTTGTATGTTTTTTCTTACAATATTACAAGCAGCATTTCTCAGTTAAACAACTGTACCTTCTTTTTCTTCTTTCTGTGTGGAAATCACAAAATGTGTATTTTCGGCATTATGGCAAACTAAACACCTTAACTGAACAACCACCTGAAAATACTTGGAAATGCTGACTACAATTTGCAAAATTTTTTCTAATGGCTCTCATAACCAGGCAAGAAAGTAAGAACCAATCAGAAGTGGAAACAAGCAGAGGCGAACCCTGGTGAGTTTGATCTTGGGCTTGTTTTTAATGGCTGCTTAGGGCATAAAGATAAAAGACCCAAAAAAAAGGGGTGGGGGAGACTCACAAGATGAGAAATTCAATAAATGGTCAGCTCACAGCATAAAGCTTCACTCACAATGACTACATTGACTGGTTGATTGTAGCATTTATTAGATATAAACATCCCCTTTGGAGGTATGTACAAAATAAATCCCTGCCTGAAAACTTGGTGATGAATAAAAGAGAAAAATATGTCTCTTGGTAATTCAGACCTTACCCAGGCTTGCTGCCTTAATTTCTACTACCTGGGTGGTCATAAAAGCTTCTAACCAAAAATTCAGTAAATGCAAGTGATCATAAGTGCCTGGTAAATGCAAAACCTCTCCGAAAGCGTTTGCCTTGAAACTACATCTAAAAATAATCTCACATTAAGCATTAAATATATATTTACAAAACACTGAAGGAAAAGTGTACCATGTGCTAGAGTCTCCAGAAACAGCCGACTGCAGAATCCAACATGGACATAGAATAGTGGAAATGATAGTGGGGAAGGGCATGTAATAAGAGTAGAGCCACAGTTGTTTAATAATTATTCACCTCACTAATTATAGATAAGAGGTTTTCTTACAGACCCTGGGAAACTGCAGGAGGAAACAAGGCTGTAAAAAGATAAGATATCTCGATGGGTCAATTACTCAGAAAAGAAATACATTTTGAGAAGAGACCAAGGACAGGACACACTTTGATTTGGTTGCTGTGCCCGGACCCTGACCCCCTCCAGGAGTTTTTCTCAGGAATGCTGGCTATTTTCTGGTCCCAGGATTGGGCTGAGCTGTTTGTAACATCATACAAGATGAGCCACCTTGTTACCAAACTTTGAGCTCCTGAGACCCTCCCCTCCCCTTTTCCATGTTACACTTGCAGCTCTCAGCTGCTCGTAGCTAACTTTTCCCTCGTGTGTATACAATCATCCAACTGGCAAGTGGGGGGTCAGAGTAGAATTTTCCAGGGTGACCGACTGCTCTCCCCATGCTGCCGGAATTATTGGAATAAATGCTCAGATATGATTCAACCCTGTCTCTGCTTAATTTGGCTCAAGTAGTGACAGGCGGTCTCCAACACATTGTGTCGTTTCAGAAATATTATGCATAGTATACAAAATGTAAATATGTATAACTAAAACTTAAAGAGAAAAATGGAATGCTGAGTAACTAGCAAAAGCCAATAAAAATAATCAAGAATATTTGGAGAGCCCAGCTGGTATGGCTCAGTGGTTGAGCATCAACCCATGAAGCAGGAGGTCATAGCTTGATTCCCAGTTAGGGCACATGCCTGGGGCTATGGGCTCAACCCCTAGTATGAGGTGTGTAGGAGGCAGCCGATCAATGATTTTCTCTCATCACTGATGTTTCTCTCTCTCTTCCTCTCCTTTCCTCTCTAAAATCATTTAAAAAAAATTTTTAAATAAAAAATAGAAACAAAAATTGTCACACTATGTAAAAATAATAATAAAATTTATCCATTAGTAATTTACAATAGATATCAAAATTTAAGGCTTCAGAAAATTCAAAAGAAAAGAATGGATATACTCAGGGCGAGAAATCTAACCTTAATGAAAACCAGTGTATATACATTAATAGCAAACATATAGATTTTAAATTTAAATATTTCTAGAAATAGTTACTGTGTCATAACAAAGATTCAATTAATTAGGGAGCTATGATATCAATACTGAATGCATCTATAGTTATAGCTCCAAAATATATACAGAAAGAACTGATTGTACTACACAATAAAAAGTATGCCATTATATGGAGCAATTTCACTAGTAACCTGGCAAACTACCTTGGCCAGTGATCCAGGCTACTACCACCAGTGGTAAGTCATGTTTATGTCATGTACCCCGATACGATGCACTAAGAAGGCACTTCACCTTTGTGTCCTTCCCCTCCAAGCCCATAACCCCAACCTAACCATGGGAAAAACACCTGATAATCCCAAATTGGGGGACAGTCTCAGAATATCTGACTAGTACTTCTTAAAACTGGCAAGGTCATCAAAAACAAGGAAAGTCGGAGAAATTGTCAAAACACAGAAGATACTGGGAGACAAGATGACTAAATGCCATGTGATATCCTGAGCTGAATTCTGAAACAGAAAAAGGACATTCATGGAAATACACAAGTGAAATAAATGAAGTCTGGAGCTTAGTCAATTCTAATGTATCAATGTTTGTTTCCTAGTTGTGACAAATGTACCAGAGTAATGTAAGAAGTTAACATTAGTGGAAACTGGATGAGGAATATACTACAGGAACTCCCTGCACTATCTTTGTAACTTTTCTGTAAATCTAAAGCAATTCTAAAATATAAAGTCTATATTTAAAACATTGTAAAGCAAGAAAAGACAATGACAGGCTAAAGAAGTATTCCAGGTTAAAAGAGACTAAACAGATGTTAACGTTAGTGGAAACTGGATGAGGAATATATAGGAACTCCCTGCACTATCTTTGTAACTTTTCTGTAAATCTAAAGCAATTCTAAAATATAAAGTCTATATTTAAAACATTGTAAAGCAAGAAAAGACAATGACAGGCTAAAGAAGTATTCCAGGTTAAAAGAGACTAAAATCAGGACAACTAAATTCAATGTGTGATTCTTGATTAAACTTTAGATTGGGGGGGAAATAGCTTTAGGACATTAATGGAACCACTGTTGAAATTTGAATATGGAGTGTGGATTAGATAATATAATTGTACCACTGTGAAGTTCCCTGGTTTTGATCATCATGTTTATGGCTATGTAAGAGAGCATCCTTATAGGAAATACACACTCGGGCATTTAGAGGAAATGGGGCACAATTTCTCCAACTTACTCTCAGATGGTTCAGAAAAAACAACAAAATCTAAAATATTAGAGAGGAAGAGGTGAGGGATGGAGGTGGGGGAGAAAATGATAAAGCCCATAAAACAAAGTTAACATCTGTTCAAAGTAAACATTCTGGGTAAAGATCATACAGAAGTTTCTGATACAACTCTAGTAAATTTTCTATACAATTGAAATTATATCAAAGTAGAAAGTTATCCCAAAAAGATGTTTTGAAAAGTTTCCCAGACTTGTTTTTACTGTGATATTTTGTGGCATATATGAAAAATAATAGAACTCAAGCTCAAAACAGTTAAAGGTTTATCTCAAGAGAATTATTAGAGATGAGTAATTCTTTCCAAAATTAAGCGCACGAAGAATAAAAGGCCTTTTGAGAGACTGGGGGGCTTGT